AAATGTTTTATTTTTATCGTCGCATTAGTAAAAAAAAGATGAGAAGATTTAAAAAAAACCAAGGGTAAAAAATCAATATTATGTGAAATTGTTAATGTTTGGTCTCTCCTTAGCTATATGTAGGATTGTTAAAGCGTGTATGATAGATTGAATATTAATTGGTGAAATAAATTTTTATTTTCCTTAGTTCTTATATTTGTGTTGTTGGATGTGAATTTTTTTAGCGCTTTGTCGGTCTGAACGACTACTTTTGAAGCTAGTTTTTCCTATGCAGGTTTGAATCATGGATCTTACATTTGGCAGGTTCAAGTATGGTCCCATTTTTTTGTTTAGTGTGGAAGCGATGCATGGTATGGTTGGAATACAATGAAAAATGTGTAAGGACTGCTACACCGACGCCTGGGTGTAGTGTCAAATAAACAAGTTTTCCTGCATTACAGACAGATGCGAGTAAATAAGTAAGTCTCTGAAACTAATATTAGGATGTGATATTGGAATATAGGTAAAGAATGTAAGGTCATTCCTAAAGAAAATTTAAATGCTAAACATCGATTATCAGTTTCAGATTTTAAAAGGAAGAGTTGTAATATAAAAAATATAATTAAACATTATCATAGAATTAGATGGGGCACCTAAAAGATAATTATGTTTAGGAACAAACTTCAAGATTTCAAAATTTGAGATGTTCCTGAAGACCAAATTCTACGTGGCATAAAGTAACAATACTATTAAACACGTGGCAAAAGATGTACATAGAGAATCAAAAGGAAAAAAAAATATAAATAAAAATAGTTAGTGGTGGAATAATAATTTGAAATTAAAGATGAAATATAAGAAGTTGTTTTATAAAAATTAATTTAAATGTAAAAGCTTACAGAATTAAAAAAAATATAAGGTGACTCGTAGGGAGTCTAAGAGAACAATTTGTGATGCTAAAAATTCTACTTTTAGTTTATAATATCTTTGATAATGAAGATAGTGAAAAATATGTGTATTAGCTACCTAAATAAAGAGAAAAGAAAAAAAAAGTTTTAATTCAATTGTATTATAGATGAAATAAAAAAGTACTTCTCTTAAAGGAGGATATTCAACATGTGAGTGAGCTATTTTGATAATTTTTTCAATGAAGTTTTAGAAAATACAATTGATTTTGGTGATTTTTATGTCGTTAATAATAATAATAATAAAATGTTTTATTTTTATCGTCGCATTAGTAAAAAAAAGATGAGAAGATTTAAAAAAAACCAAGGGTAAAAAATCAAGACTTGATGATATACCAATTGAAGTGTGGAAATAGTTAGGAGGTTTGAGAGTTTCTTGATTTATTAAACTCTTTAATGTTATTTTAAAAACTAAAAAGATGCCTAAGTGGAGAAAAGATATTTTTGTTCTCATTTTGAAGATTAAAGGGGATCATAAGAGTTTGAAATTATAAAGGTTTTAAGTTATGTGTCAAACTTCAAAATTATGGGAGAGAGCAATTGAACATAGGTTAAGACGTGATACAAGTATTTTTAATAGTTAATTTGGATTTTTGTCGGGAAAATCTACTATGGAAACTATACATTTATTGAGAGGTATATTGAAGAAGTATAGAGAGAATAAGGAGGATCTATATATGATTTTTATTGATTTAGAAAAAGCTTGCGATAAGATTCAAAGGGAAGTCTTTTGGAGAGTTCTAAAGAGGAAAATTCCGATGCAAATATTGGATGCTATTTTGCTCATCTTTTGTAGTCTTGGTTTAGGTTTAGAGCATGTTTATATGAAACCCAAATTTTTCTTGCTCATTTACCTTGCAAACCACCACCTCCTCTCAATTTTAAGCCTTGGAAACAAGAACCGAGCCCCTTTCACCGCTCTACGCTTTTGGCAACCCCCTCATGCTCAAGAGCCCACTTTTGGCCCCTTCCAGTCACAATTGCATGCACCTGGAAGCTCCCCTTCCCTTAATGTTTTCGATTTGTTGCAATACTTGATCTTCTACTCTCTCTCTCTTTCATTCTTTTACCTTTGCCTCTTTGGCTCTCTTACTCACTTTTGGCTTGTTGCTCTTTTTAATTTCTTAAATGACACCCTTAAAAGTCCATTACATCCACTAATTGAATACACGTGTTGGTGTTAATAATAGTAGTACTTTTTTATAGCCCTATGTAATATATTTATATATTTACTTTATAATATTTTATTTATACAAAATAAGATTAAAGATTTTACCAGTAGATTTTCTACAAAATTTTTGAAATAGTCACGGTCGGAAAGAAAGACTGAGAGGATTTCTAAAGATTACTAGAAATTTTTAGGATATGGTCAATAATTTTGATGATCAATAGTTAATTGTATCGAATATGTTTTTTTCCTAACTTTTTTATAATTTTGTAAGAGATCGATTTTAAATGTGAGTCGTCCAATATTTGGTAGCCTTAATGTATTCCTTTAGAGTTTGTTTTTTACTTTTTCTTACTTCAAAAATTCTTGAAAGAACATTTATTGAATTGATAGGATTACTTTTTCCCGCTACCTAAAAATATAGAAATAATAATAGTTTATTGATCTTTAGGACGAATCTTGGAATATTGATGGTAGCTCTACTTTAGCATCACAAATTCAACTCTTCTAGATGAAATTGATGAAGATTGTTGCATAGAATATTGAAACCTCATCCTTTGCAATCTTGATTAACAATCAAGCTAACCTGACTTTTTTGTGCTGCTAAAAGTGTTATTTTGTTCCTGACATGTATTGATGTGGCAAGGGAAAGAATTATTCAAATTCCATCAACTAATCTTATACTTTATTATCAATCTTCGAATTTTTTTTTTCATTTATGATATTTAATGGTTTAATATGTAGCCACATTTTTTATGGCATGAAATGCCTTTCACATGTTCTTTTTGGTTCCCTCAATGCTGATGGTTTTTTTTTTGTTCCATACATCTATAGTGCACTGCCTAGAATTTTTGTTTTCTAGTAGGTTTTTAGGTTCATTAGAATGGATTAGCTGGTTATTATTTTGGATTACTTTTTTTTCAGAAGACCTTGGCATGATTGAACAAGTTTGGTGAAAGTATCGTTTCATTTGCCTTGATTTATCCTCCTTATTCTCTTTAAATTTGAATGCACAGCTGCGAGGACAAAGAATTACAGTGGTGCTGAGCTAGAAGGTGTTGTAAAAAGTGCCGTTTCATTTGCCTTGAATCGACAATTGAGCTTGGATGATCTGACTAAGCCATTGGACGAAGAAAACATAAAAGTTACCATGAATGATTTTATGAATGCTCTTCAAGAGGTTGTCCCTGCATTTGGTGCTTCCACAGAGGATCTCCAACGATGCAGGTATTACACATTCTGTGATATTTTTGTATGTTCATATAGAGAAAACACACACACACAGGGAATGGATATATCTGTTGTTTTATTTTATAATCATATTAATAAATCTAAATAGGAAGAGAAATACATATGCATGCATGCACACACACTCACAAACATACACATACACGCACGCACACACATTAACTCTAGAATGCCAAAGTCATTAGGAGAATTATCGTGTTTAGTTGAAATCTTATATAACTTGGGCAATGAAGAAATTTTTTTTTTTTCAATTTTTACTATTTGTTTAGAAAAAATAGGTTGATGCCTTTTATCAGCTAAACTTAATAAACTTCAAATGATATCTTCATACTAATTAAACCTTGAATTAGGGCTATCAAAAAAACTCGTTTGCGAATAGCTCGTGTTCGACTTGTTAAATAGCTCTTAATTGATTCATTCGTTAAGCAAATGAGTCGAACATAAACAATTTTTTTAGCTCAATTTATAAACGAGCCGAACACGAACAAAAGTTTGTTTGTTTGTGTTTGGCTCGTTTTGACTCGAAATATTTAAATAATAAATAAATAATACATAAAATTTAAAATAATACTATCTTTAATATGATATTAAAAATTTCATTTGTTTATATATAATAAACAACATTTAGATGTTAGATATGCAAATACATAAGATTGTGGTATGTATGTAACTGCCTATAGAGAATTTTTACAAATCCCATTTTTGTGGTTTCTTTACTTAGGTTCGAAAAGTAAATACATAAGAATTAGGTGGTATGTATGTAAAATCCCATCAAAATCTGCTAAATTTTGCCTCTTTTTGTTCTCTCGATTCCCATTGTCCAGTCGCCTTTTGCCACATTTTTTTAGTTTCTTCATTTTAATCCCACTTCTGTAAGAAGTGAAGTATCCATTTTTTAAGTTCTGTTTAAAATGTAAATGTACCTCTGAAAATTTAAAGTTATATGTGAAAATAAGCTTGTTAGTTTTATCGAGCCGAACACGAGTCTATTTTGAACGTATTTCAAATTTATCGAGTCGAATGTGAACATGCTATTTTCGAGCCATTTTGAACACGAGCTGAACTCAAACAACTCAATATTCGAACGAGCCGAACACAAAAAAGCCTTGAACTTACTTAAGTTTGGCTCGTTTACACCCATACCTTGAATCATCAATCACTTTCATTTTAGAACTACTTAAGTAACTTGGTGAACCTTATTATCATGTCAAAGAGTAATGAGATTAGGAATAAATGAGATGTTCTCGATGGGCTAGCAAATAGCTTTCCTTTCTTAGACTTTTGTTTGGCTTCTGAGGTACCAACATGCTTGACATTCATATAGGATGATACTAGAGATAATGTTGTTGGGGGATATTGACCTTCAATAAGCCAACAACTGCTTGGGAAAAAGGCACAAACTTAAAAAGGGAGCTAGAATAGGTTTCAAATCATGAAAACAATTAAGGTGGAGGGGGCGGGGGCCAACAAAGGAACTTTTTCCATGAAGTTGATGAGTTTAGTCATTTATGTTTATCACACAAAATGTTGTATGTTCCTACTATTATTATTTGAACTTTATTGAAGTGTAGCGCTCTTAGCTGATGATTCTCACAATTTTGTGCGAACCTTGAAGCAAACATTGTATTTATGATACGAGGTTTTACAAGATTGGTAATATGAGGGTAAAACCTCAAATTTCCTTTGATGTTAATCTGTTGATTTATATCTCCCTTACCAAAGTGATAAGGAGCGGAAAAGTTTTTTGCTACAGAAACTCAGTCTATGGACAATCAAGAGAATCTGGCAGTAACAACATCTGCTTTTATTTTAAAAGCAACTCATAATAATTTAGAATATGAATATTATGTATGATTATAAAATACTAATATTAGGAGAATCTTAATGCATGAGGTGTATTTACAAATGAGAGTAGTTTTGTCTTCAGGTACATTTGAAAATTTCAAGATATGCTATATCCTAATTTCCATATCATTTATGCACTATATTGTATAGAAAAGTGGAGAGAAAATAAAAAGTAGACGGGCCATTAGCAATAAGCAGGCTTCATTTTGAAAGCATTTTTTTTATTTAAAATTTTAGAAATGGAGAAAAAAATCTTATCCTAGATTTTATAAATCCAAAATTCTCGAATAAGATGTTTTCTCTCTGTTTCTAAATTTTTAATATGCATTCAATAGTGCTCACTCAAGATGTGGTAGAACCGATAGTCATTATAAATCATTTTAAAATAGCTGCATTGAAATTGAAGATGTCATTATTATAGTACTTTCAAATCTTTTTCTGGCCTACTTTATTTTTTAATATCAAAAGCATGACACAAATTTCAAGTATTTGGATGGAATGCTAGTAAGTTTATATTGTTTTATAGCTTATAAAGATATTTAATTATTTTTTATTTTAAAATTTTGTTTCATAATTTGTTAAAATGAAAAGATGCCCAAATAGATGAAAAAGTACACACAAATATAATGATAAAACACACTATTTGAATGGCTTTTTAAGTTTGGGTTGTATTTGAGTAAGTTCAATGTTGTGGTTATCAATAAGAGTGACTCGAGTGCTCAATTGAATTATTACTTCTCAAAGTGATTATAGGGATATATGTTATCATATTTTAACATAAGGATTTAGTTAATCATATTTAATTATGTATTTTACTACCCCATACATCATGGGGTTCTTTAACTTTGTTGTGTTCTTGTCTCATGTTGGCATGCTTGGTTCATAGGGTTTTCCAAATCCCATTAAACCTACTAGGAATAAGAAATCTATTTCAATTTTTTTTGAAGTAACGCTCTTGACCTCACTTTTGGTTGAGGTCTAGTCTCTCCTTTTTAATAGTCTAGGGTCTAGCCGTAAGACTTTCCTGTCGACTATTCCTAGAAAACTAGCAAAGGAGCCCTCCCCGTTAGAAATTCCGAGCTTTTCTTCACTCGACATGAAGTTCTGCATAGTAGTTTTGACCTCTATCACTTAGTAGGTGGTGTTACTGTGAGGAAGCTCAAGAAGCATCTTATAGGACCGTTGGCCCTAGGATTGATTGCACACGTTGATCTAGCGCTGTCGCGCTTTTTGCCGTTCTATTTGATTGAGCTCGAGCTGAGTTTTTGACGTAATTCGGGTCGCGACGTGTTTTTGTCTCGATCGTCGACGAGGTTGTCTAAACTACTCCGGATGACAAAACGGACTGCGTCGACGTGTCCGGAATGTCGATTTTACCTGGGGGGACATTCGTTCCACTGCGACGACGCGTCTGGGGAAGGATATATAATTTAGGTATAATTATAGTAATAAATGATATTTTTGTTGTTATTATTATTTATTAAAACCTAAATCTATCTACCCCCCTCCCCACTGCTTTTCTCGAACCCGTGGGCCTCAGCCCTAGCTCTATTCGCTCGCTCGCTTGGCCCGCGTCCTTCCTATGTCGTTGGACTTTCACTCCCGCGCTCGCCGCTTGCACGCAAGACCATCTCGAGGACGAACCATCCCCTTATCATTGTCGTGGATCTTATCCCCTACGAGGATCTCATCCTCTGCCTCTCTCGAGCCGCCCTAATGGGGCGTCTGCTCCGCTCGTTTCCTCGAGCCGTTTACGATCTTTCGATCGCTCCTCCTTCTCCCGTCTATATTAAACTCTACTTAGAGCATTTTAGAGGGCGACAAAAAAAAATCTCTATGAGGAAGGGAAAATTCTGCCAAATTTCTTTCTCACTTTCTTCTTTAGTTCCTATTGCTTGGGTTGGTTTCCTCTTGCTGTTGGAGAGGAGTTTAGGCTGTGGAGCATTTTTCTGAGGTTTTATTTTGTTTCTGTATTAACGAGGTACTTCTCCTCCTCCTCTGCGCCTCGCTTCCTTTCGGTTTCTCTCTACCGAGCCACTGAGAATAGCTTTGTTGGATGGTACAACATGTTAGTCTAATTTATTTGCATGTATTTTGAGATATTCACCATAAGAGCATGTGGAAGTAAAAATCTAGGCCTGTTTTGAGATTTGAGCATGGATTCTTGCTAGGGTTAGCGAGAAATGAAGCATATATGGGCTGCCTCTATTCTTTTTTTTGCTTAAAAAAAAATGTTTGGGAGTATATTGATAGTTTAAAATGCATGTTTGCTCCTCTAGAAATACATGTTGAAAGAAGTTATTATATTTTCCATGCTTAGAATGAATGTGGTAACTCATTTTGATGCCAAGGAATGTTGGCTCTAGAAGATTCATGCTTCTCTAGTTCTTGTTGCATATCATCACGCTAAAAAGCTTGAAATTCATTCTTGTTTTTGAGCCTTTACAGGGTTCGGTTTGGCCCCTACTTTGGCCTGTCTTTAAAGCCTTTATAGGCCACTTCTTTTTTTCAGCCCTTGATGTGCTCGGTTTTTAGCCTCTATTGGGGCTCGGTTTTAGCTCCCTGTAGTTTTTCCTGGCCTGAAATGCATGCTATGAGAAAATTTCTTTAATTTGGAAATCCCTGTAGCTTGTTTTAACGACTTGGTTTAACTTCTCGTGAGGTATCCTCTCTGTTCAAATATCTATGAGAAATTGTTTGATGCTCGGAATAGGTATTTTGGAGGCCCAAATATGTTCTCTATGCTATTTTTCTTGTTTAAGATGTATATTGGCTCCATATCTTGATGTTTTAAAAGCATGTGGATTTTTCTTTAAGCTTTGGATGCTCGATTTTGCCTTGAAATGGCTGGATGTTAATCTCTATTGAGGCGTGGGTCTTAATTTTGGTTGGAATTATGTTTTAGCCTTGAACAGCTTAGTTCAAGCTTCTTTTGGGGCTCGATTTTGCCTGTTTAGGCCTCGATTTAGCTCTTTTATTGCGATCTGCCTATTTGAAATAGTGTGCTGCATGAAATATCGATTTGGAGGCTTTGTAATGGCTCGATTTTAGCTTCTCATGGGGTCCGTTTTTGCTTGTTGAGGTTCTCGGTTTTGCCCCTGGGTCGCCAAGTTCCTGCTCACTTATTGAACTCATTTTGACATTAAATTGGCATGTTATTGGTTGCCTCAGTTAAATATACGTGCAAGTTCGTCCCCAAATAATTTAAAGCTGGTTTGGGGCTTGGTTTTTGTTGGCTTTGCCCCTTACCCGAGAGCCTTAGCAGCTCCCCTTTTGGTGGCCTTGGCTGTGGGCTTTGACAGTGGATCCCTCTCTTTGTTGCCTTTGGTCGAGAACCTTAACAGCTGCTCCTTGCTACCCTTAGCTCCCTTACCCGAGAGCTTGGCCTGGAGTTGGCCCGTGCTTTTTCTTAGCCCTACCCGTGAGCTTGTCGGTGGGTCTTTTGTATTTGTTTGGTCCGTCTTGCTGGACTTGATTAGTTTGGATTTTGTGGATGAGTCCAATTTGTCATCCAAAAATTTATAACCGCTTTATTCATTTCCTTATGTATATCAAGGGGGTACGGTAAAGTAGCTAGTGGAGGTCCCTTTGGTTGCCTTAACCGTGAGTCTTACTTGTTGTTCCTTGGGTTGCCGTGGCCGTGAGTCTTTCCTGTGCCTTGGATTGCCTTGGCCGTGAGCCTATTTTGGCCCTGTTTCTTGCCTTAGTCGTGAGTTCCTTGTTCTGTTGGTGGACTTGGCCGAGAGCCTTGGTGGTTGCTTCCTCTTCTCTATTGACCCCGACCGTGAGCATTTATGTGGCTTTATTGGACGATTTTATGTTTATTTGGTATGAGAAGCTATTGATTAATTTGGGAGTTGAAAAATCTTAATTTTGGCATAAGTTTGGAGGTGCTGATGGTAGTCTTCCCCGGGTCACTTTCCTTTTGTTCAATTCACAAAATTTGGAGGATTTTCAAGTCCTATTTGGGAGAGCATTTGGTTGAATTAAATTGAGCCCATAGAAGATATTTTTGGAGGATTGACACCGATGCAGGGGAGGTCATTTGTGGGTGATCGTCGTGTCGGTTCGGGCCCGTTTCGACTCGTTCGAAATAGGATTTGGGAAGGACACCCTCCTTCGGTTGATCCAATTCTAATAGAGCGAGTAAATGATATCCTTCTGGATTGATTCAAGGACCTTGGGCCCTACCTTCTCAAGTCTTTTCGTTACGAGTTTTAAGGGCTGATTCATCCTCCGTCTTTTCAGTGTTTTAAGTGGTCCAGTGCCTCCTCTCTCTAACCTCATTTTTTTTGTTTTTTTTTCCTTACTTCTTGATTTGTTTTCGGTTTTTTTTCAATGCTTATGTCCGATGCATAAGCGTCCACGTATAACATTTTGCTATACGTGAAACTATCAAGCAAGGCCGCAAGTAGTTGGTTTTGTTTTGGGGCTTAGGGCAGTGATGACAAAGGCACATCAGTGGTAGAGCAGAATGATATTCCATCCTACTACATCGGGACACCCTCACGGACCCGATGAATCGTAGGATGTAATATCATTCACCGACATAAGACTAGCGGGAGTTGACCCGTACCTTCTTGGGTTGTTGGTAGTCCTACATCCGACAGTGTGATTGACTCGTGGACAACTACACTTTTTCAAAACTAATAAAAAAAATTTTGATAAGAACAAATACACCTTTTTTAAACAAAAATATATATTTTTTTATACAAACAAAATTGATACCCCCCACTTTTGTATGCTTGAAACCTATGTTCATGCTAAAAATATAAATTTTAAATACATTTAAAAAAAATTGGTTGTCTACCTGTTGATTACCTGTTTGGGCCAATGAGTACCCTTCCCTGAGTTAGATTCGATAGGACACCCTTCTAGTTGTGTGGCGGGCTTTATATATCCGGGTGACCGAGTAGCCTTCGACAACCCTCGAGTACAAATATATATCTGAGCCTAGGCCTACCCGAGTGCTTGTGGTCCCCTTTTTTCAGACTTTTGCATATGTTTTATCAAATTTTTTGGACAAAGCACTCGTGGTCTTTTCTCTGGGATTTTCCCGAGGTTTTGAGGATTTTATTTGAATTATTACTCGTCAATTTTCTCGAGCTTTTCGTCATGGATTATTCGTTGACTTTTCCCAAATTTTCCATCGTAGGTCATTTACCGTTCTTTCTCGAGTTTTTTGGGTGACGTTTCTTTTCTTCTTTTGCTTTCGTTTATATGATGCATTTCAACCTGTTCTATTTGTACCTGTTGCATCAACTACACCTAAGGAACAGCGGATCTCCCAGGTATACAGATTTATTTTGTGTTTACAGCATATTACTTTCTTGAAGTCATTTTCCTGCTGTACCTTTTACCTTTTCTTTACACCGCATGTTGTACTATTCTTTTTCACTGCATAATCTACTGTTGTCCTGTGCTACACATTCTACTGTTGTTCCATACATTGTATAACTTCAACATTTCTCTCATAAAATGTTTAAAGGATTACAACCATAGGACCGTTTGCTTTGACATCATAACCTGATACCCTAGAAAAATTAAACTCGTCATGACAAGGAGCTTGGAGCTAACATTGTAGGCAGCACGACCATCTTCAACAGCAGAACATTTTCACACCAGTTAAATCATTCCTTTCTTAGAAGTTAAAACAACAATCCACAGGATTTCGAGGTTGTTTGCTTATGCAACATAAATCCTCAACTTATTTTTAGGCATTTGTACGGCTCTACTGTACATTCTAAGTCCCAACTCCTCTTAGGATGCTGAGGTTGTCGTCCGTCTCGACCTAAAACCTCATATCTTCCAAACAATTTGTGTGATCGTTTCACAAAAATGTAAGCCTTAAGTAAATAAAATTGGTAGGATAAAACACTTGAATATTTCTTCCTTGAAATTGAAGCCAAACCATAGGGTAGACTGGGAAGTCACCGAGGTTCTTCTTTGGATCTGTAGCATCCCCTAGTTCTTCTTCCTTTGGATTCTATAATAAATATTTCAAGTTTGAACAATTCCCCTTTGCACACCTCTTTGTCTGATTTCTTTAAAAAGTCCTATTTTTTTGATCCTATCCTTTTGACCTCTTTGAAGATAATATTTTTTGATTTTTATCAAGAGTATTCTTAGGCGACTTCGATCATTTCAGATGTAATTAACTATAGGGGTTTGTTCTTATAGGAAACTTTTTCGAACTCAGCTTAATATAAACATTATTTAATTATTCATATTAAATAGAGGAACTTGTCGGCAAATAAAACGGTTTCATAGATCAAACGGACGTCATATATTTCTTAGTTTATCTGATCGAGCCTCATCTTCAAGTCTTGTGCTTATCCTTCGGGATAGATACAAGATTTGAGGTGTGGTGCTCTTTCATTTAAACTATGAAAAATATGTGGTTAGTTTGATTTCATATTTTTCTAAACTTAAATCTATATGTAAATTAAAACGTCCTTCCGAAGTTGACGAAGAGATTTCGATTCCGGTGACCGAGAGCTTTTTACGGGCAACTCCTCCAACCAAAATAGTGTCGACAAACGCATACAACAATCTTGTAAAAATCTATTGGGGATGGAAAATATTTGCTCTTATTCCTGGGTTTGGGATCTATGATTGGATGTCATGCATTGTTCTTGTCGTGTGGAGCTTTCCTTTTTTTGATCTAATGAAGTTTGTTAGGAGGTGAGCCAGATATTAAAATCTGTAATCTTTTTTGAGGTTGAAGAGGCAGGACAACAAAGACTATGAAATAAGCTCATTTGATCTCATATTTTTAGATCACACATTAGGCTAGAAGGTTGGTTCTAATATATATAAAATGGCTGTCCAAATCATAAATAATGCCAATTGTGCCCATGGGGCTTGAGAGGATGGGATGCTTCATATGCATTTAATGCCCTTATTAATCATCTTTTATCTATAGCTTTAACTACTATTTTTCTTAGCTTTCTGAAGTGAAAGAAATAAATAATTTTGAAAAATATTGAGTATTTTTTGTGGAGATAATTTTCTTGAAAGGGGTGCCATTTCTTACAGCACATGAAAGCACTTTCATTTGTAGTAGTCACACGTCACTATGTGATAGTAAGATTTCTATATATATATTTTTTTAATGGTGAGACTCCATATTTGAATTGAAACTTGTTGCAGGCTTCATGGAATGGTTGATTGTGGCGAAAGACATAAGCACATCTATAAGAGAAACATGATTCTTGTTGAGCAAGTTAGAGCGAGCAAGGGTAACCCCCTTGTTACATGTCTTTTGGAAGGTCCTGGGGGAAGGTATAAGCATCCTAATTTGTAATGATTATTATATGTTAAAATTTTTCAAAGACTTTATGCCTTGGCAGTGGTAAGACAGCGATGGCGGCAACAATTGGTATCGACAGTGATTTTCCATTTGTCAAAATTGTAAGTTCAGTCTATTGTATAATGCTTCGGAAGTTTTCTGGATTAAGATCCAACTATTGTTGCCACAGGTCTCAGCTGAGTCAATGGGTGGTCTTAGCGAGAGCAGTAAATGTGCAAAAATTATCAAGGTTTCTTTATCCTGGTCAATTTTGATTTCAGTTGATCATTTTCAATGATTATGAATTCAAAAATCTAATAAAAAGTATTTTTTCTTTTACTTTTTAATCCTGTTATTAGTAAGTTTAAAACAGTTGGGCCATCTGGAAAATGTATGTTTTGAGCCTATCGCATTTGAAATTTACTTCTCTATTTTATTTCTAAGCATGTTCACGGTCAATTCTTCCAGGTTGAGTAAATTATATTTTTCCTTATATAGGTTTTTGAGGATGCGTATAAATCTCAGTTGAGCGTCATTATTCTTGATGACATTGAAAGGTAGCTCTTAAATCATGCATTTTTATTCAGTACCTTGCACGATTTCGATTTATTTTGAGTTCATTTTTCTATAAAAATTTGTAACGCTAGCTTCACCATGAAATGTTTTCCCCCTCTTGCTTATGCTGCTTTAAAAGTATGTTCCATTATGGTAGTATATTCTTTGTACAATTTACTGTGTTAGCATTGCTCTATTCATATTCATTAGAGCATGTGTACTTGTCTTTAACATTTGCGGTTGAATCCTTTTTTTAATGATACCTTCTAATTGCAATATCAGAAGTTATATTTTGAGTTAATCAAAATGCTTGCTGCATTTATTTATTTTATTAGATTGCTCGGTATTATCTTTATTTCTTGTTGTTGAATCATATGATTTACATCTCAGGCTGTTGGATTATGTTGTCATTGGTCCTCGCTTTTCAAATTTGATTGCACAAACATTGCTGGTCCTTCTAAAAAAACTTCCTCCAAAGGTATACCATACTTATACCTATTCCTTCTTATATTAAAGGAGCTGAGAAGTTGTATTTTTGAATTGTTAGGACTTTTTTTTCCAGCAGCAGCTTCATATGTGCTCCTTTTTACACTAATTTAATTTTTGTTTTATTTATTCTTATTTTTAGTTTTATGAGTTTATGACACCTGAAATTACTCCGAGACAAGTTGGTCAATCACGGTTGTATACGCGTCGATCAAGTAATATACAGATTATGAGCGCGTGTTGATCCCATCGGAAAAGTGTTAAAATATCTAATAGGCAAAATTCTAGTTTACTAAACTGTTAAGCCAAATTTGAATGTTCATTTTGCAGATATGAAAATGTTTAAAATCCTGATGCAGAAAGAAGAAAACTAACAAAATTTTGTATATTTTTTTGGATATAAAAGGTTCATATTCTTGTGACACTTGATGTTTTTCTAGACAACCAAGGAGATGTCCTCTTTAACCTATGTTTAGGTCATAAGAGGAGTTGTAAACTATATTACTGTTAAGGGGATTTAACCATGCAACGTTTTTCAGAAATCTTATATTCTATCTAGGTTGCAATTTTTTAATGGCAATATGTATATTCCACTACGATAATATGTGTTAACATTCTTGTTCTTTTAAGCAACGGTTAAAAGTTCTTGATCACAAGAGATTTTAATATTGTATCGTGTTCAATTAAAAGTAAACTAATACCAAGAAGTTAACACATCAATATATGAAATTCATGCACGGAAAGACGTCTAAGGAACAAAATTTATAGAGCAAATACAAGAGAGCCACTTGTCTTGTCTCATAAGAGTATGAAAACGAGATTAACTACAATGCACGAATAAAAAAAATAAGAATTTATATTCAAGGCATAAAAAGGAATACAATGCAAGGGGTACATAAAACTCACTGGAGCCAATTGGTCCATGCAATACACCGCAATCCTCTCCATTCAATACAAACTATTCGAAGATCTCCTCTCATACAATTGCACTCAACCTCTCCTCACAATCTCTCAAAAACTCACAAAAAAACCTACCCTAAGAATCTTCCCTAAGGTGAGCCATTGGAGAAAATCCTAGGGTTGATGGCTTCCATTAGACCTCAAGAGAAGTAGCCTCCAACAACCTAAAAAGTATCTCCTACGATCGCAAAATGACATTATCTACTTAGGTATTCAATTAGGGTTCCAAATTAGGTATTAAACGCCAATTCGCAGAACCGAGGCAACATGCAAGCCAAACTGACGCGTGCGCGCGAGAAATGGAGCGGACGCACGGAAGGCTTGGGAGTTTGGTGCGGGCGTGTCGTCAGTTAGCGCGGGGGTTTCATGCGCTCGAGCCTTGAGGCCCGGGCATGCCATATGGACATGGGGGTGTCATCATCCTTTGACCGTATTTCACCCTTTTGCTTCCGGAATTGTGCTCTTCATCTGTATTCTATAAAATACAACAAAAATACCTTCTTCAAGTGTATAATGTGAGTAAATGGGGAATAAAACATAATTTGTAATACCATAAATTAACGTAAGTTTACCTTATCAATTTTCTCAAACATACCTATTATTTGCATTCAAGTATTCTCATATCTAAGTGAGACTTATTTTAGCATTTGTAGCTTTTATGTGAGAATTCCTAATTCTTTAACAAGATTATATAATTGTAAATAAAAAGTATGTAAATCTCATTTTTAGTGTTAGATTTTCATTATATAAGTCGAAGTAGATCTCAAAACACTTAATAAGGTGATTCAAATAATTTCATTGCCCAAATATATTTTTCAATCAAGTACTAGTCAACCGACCAATCCAAAATCACATAATTTTTCTTGAATTTAATATTATAAGATTTTCATTCAGACAATTTTAGCTATTATTAAATAGAAATGGACTTAGATACCAATTTTTAATTTTTATACTCACCTCAATCTTCTTCTCAAGGAGATTGACCACCTCTTTTTATTTTTCTTTTGAATCAGACATCTCTCCATTTTTTTTGAATTCTACTAAGAATTATTATATCAGGTTGAGCTCATTTCTTTTAAGGATTTTAGAGTCATAATCTCCTAATTGATAATTTACACAAGTTCCTTAATATGAACTCTGAAATATTATAATTCACTCAAAAGTTGAGACCCAATTAAATTGGTTAAGTTGAAAATTAAAACATTTAAAGTATCTATGATTAATTTTTGATATTTTAATTACACTTTTTTAACTATTTTGAGACTTTATAATTCAAGTAGTGTTGTTAAAGTGCATTACTCAGTTATTGAAATATTAATTCTAGACCTCCCCTTTAATGGGTATTCACTGTTCTAATGAAGGCAATATATAGTCTTGTTAAATATTAGGATCATATCATGAATTGGTACATTGAAATATGACCCATAACTTAAACATGAATCACTCTCACGCAACTGTATAGGTACTATTCCCCCTCCCAAACTTGTTTTTTATCCTATGCATGCCATAAGAGAAAATAGAAGGCTGGAAAAAAAAAGAAAATATGTGGTGCGAGCTCACCCAGATGCTGCGTAGAGATGTTGCCCTCTTGGTTGCGCGGCAAGGGATTGCAGGGAGAGTGCGGACGCTCTTGTGTTCCCTAAAAAGTGTCGGAGCGTGCTATGAGACGTGGTTGTGTTGTATGTTCATGCGGGGGTGCCTATATATGACAATAACGTGCCATTTTCTCTAGAATACAACCCAAGTGTGCTAGTTCTAGCGCGTGTGCGCCAGTCCAGCCTCCCACAAGTGATTCTCTACTTATTAACTCTCCTGTTCGTCTCCCAAATTTAAATCCAAGACCTAGATACACTCTAAAGATATAACCGATGACTAAGCAGACAAAACAAAGGAAAAATAAACTTTCAATGCAAAAACTTGAACATAAATACCAACAAATGCGAGGAACTCATGAGATAACACTTGGGCTGCATCGTAAGGTAGTGTTTGGTTTAATTCTCTTAGTTTGACCTAAGCTCAAATCAAATTGAATAAGTCTTCCTTCAAGATCAAAATTTAAAGTCAGTAATCGTCGATCGATCGCCTAATCTTTTGTTTGTCCTAGATTTTTCACTAAATTCTCAGATTTTAGAAATTTTTGTAATTTTTTCATCTAAGTTCGATAATAGTCTTCTATAGGGTAGGTAGGTTGATTCAAATTATCATCCTTAAGAGTGTTTTTTATATCCATAATTTTCTCAATAACTCCCCTTTTTGTAGTTTAGCATTTTTTTCCAACCAACTGCAAGAAATGGTTCGTTAGGAGGTGAGTCAAGGTTTCCTAAGCATTAGTCGGATTCTCATTAGGCTCTTTAGGCTCAAGATCTAACTCTATAGGGTTACTCTCTTGCTTAGGGTTATCTTCTAATTTTTTCCTTGGGTCTCCTCCTATGGGTGGTACTATAGGCTTGACTAGGGTCATGCTGTCTACAATCTCAACTATCTCTCTAAAAACTCTAGTGGTTGCCTCGAAAGAAGAGTAGATTCTTTTTTAGTCATTATCCAACAAAAGTCATCCAGTACAACAAAAGTCATCCAGCTTGCTATTTGTGGTCAAATTCTTCATATTCCGAAATGTGGCTATCAATTGCCCCTAACAACACATCTACAGTATGCACTTGCTTCTTATTCCTTTTACCAGATTCACTTCAGTGTGACTGGGTCACATCTTTTGGGGTTCATTGCTTAAAAGGTTAACTAACTGCTCTATTTGATTCTCTATGGTTCTCATGGCTGCAGCTTGGCTTTGTAACTGATTCCACATATTTACTATAATTTTTTTCAAATTCAAGTTTTCCTCCCTAAATTTAGGGTTAAAAGTGAATCCACATGGGTGAGTTGGTCTAAAGTGGTCTCTGCTCTAGTTATTCCAATTTATTACATGATTGACTTGGGTGCTCCCTCATTGTTTGTTTTCTATAATTGGGTTATTATTGTTCGAATTGAAGTTTGGCTAGGTAGTACAACTTGGGTTGTAAATGTTGGAATAGGGGTGATCGAAATTAGTTTGTATGGTATCCAAGAAAATGGTCCTTGAATCACCTATTAGTTGATAAGCTATCTCATCACTGGGTATGAATCCTTGCACAAAATCAGTTTCTAAGTTGTCCACTTTCCTTTACATGTCAGTAACTTGTGAGGTTAAGATAGTCAACACCTCAATTTTATGCCCATTAGCTTCCTTCATAGAGGTAACTCTCTCGAATAGCCATTGAAATTCATTCATAATCATTTCCTCAATTAGTGTGTCGACTTCCTTAAATGATATGGACATAAGGGACTCCCAACTATAGCATCTATAATCAATCTCAAAGATCTCATTAGCCCATTGTAAAATATTTGGATAATAGCCAGTCAGAGGATGGTGTGGGCACTCCCTAAGCATTTCTTTGAACCTCTCCCAAACCTCATAAATTTTCTCTACCTCTAATTAAGTAAGGGCATCATGTCTTTCCTAATTTTGATAATCTTGAAGGGAAGAAAGCAATGGGCTAAGAGTTTTTGGTTAGGTTGCTCAAAGCTGAAATCGATTTTGGTGCTAAGAAGTATAATCACCTCTTGGTTTTATCCATAAGTGAGAAAGAACAGCTTTAATCTAACGACATCATTTGAGACACCGCTAAACTTGATTGTGGCACACAGTTCTAAGAAACTAGCCAAATTGAGGTATGGGTTTTCTGTTAGTGTTTCCCAAACAGGTTGGTTTTGACTCATTAGAATAAGCTCAAGCCTAAGTTCAAATGTAGGGGCTTATATGGCAGTGTTTAAGGCTCGTGTGAATTTCGTCTAGCAATGATGTCATACTCCGTAAGGGGCTTCAAGTGATTGTTCTGAGGATTCACCATCTCTAAGTGTGTCTCTTGCAGTTTTTGAGTTCTTCGAAGTTGTCTAAAGGTTCATTTGATTTTCGGATCGAGTGATAATAATTCACCTGGGCTAGTCTTATGCATGCAATGATGGGTGTGCAAAGGGTGGTCTTACACTAACACAAGAATATTGACATAAAGAAGGGAAAACAAGAAAGAATAACAATGAGCACAGTGATAAAAAAAAATGTAAGTAAATATTTATATTTGACTTTTGGCACATGCAACAAGTAACAATGCACACACAAGTACATCACATTAAAACTCAAAAAAATATAAATCAGAAAATAGGAAACATAAAAAGTTCAAACCTAAATTCTATGTTCAACTAAAGTTCTCCAAAAATCAGAAAATTTTGAACTTCTTTTTGCGGCAATGACAATACAAACTTGATGTATGAAATTACTGCGAGGTAAGTTTGTCAATCACGCAAGTATATATGTCGATCAAGTAATATATGAATTATGAGTATGTATATCGATCCCATGAGGAAAGTGTGAAAATATCTCTATCAGGTGAAATTCTAGTTTATAATAAATTACTTAGCTTAATTTTAATGTTTAGTTTGTAGATTTGAAAAGTTCTAAAATCCTAGTGCAAAAAGAAAAAAAACTAATGAAGTTTTGTGAAGTTTTTCAGATTTCATATCTGAAATGTTCGTACTCCTGTGACACCGGTTAAGTGTTTTCTCCATGTTTTTCTATGAAACCCACCCTATTGTTGACAACCGGGGACATGTTCTCTTTAGCGTGTGTCTAGGTATAAGAAGAGTTCTAAATCATATTACAGTTAAGCGATTTAACTATGCAACATTTTCCATGAATCTTCTAGTCTCCTATCTTGGTTGAAATTTTCTAGCCTTGGCAATATGTCTATTCCACTAGGTTATTATATGTTAACCCACTTGTTCTTTTAGGCAATGGTTAGAAGTCCTAGATCACAAGTGATTTTAACTTCTATCATATTTGATTAAATTTAAACTAAGGCCAAAAAGTTAACACATTAACATATGAAATTCATGCACGAAAAATGCGTCTAGGGAACAATAGTTATAGGCGAGAATATAAGAAAAACACATCTCTTACATCATAAGAATATGAAAATGAGATCAACCATAATGCACGAAATAAAATACACGAAAATTTTTATTTCTGGCATAAAAAGAATATAGTGCAAGAGGTACATAAAACTCACACCCGAGAATACACTGCGATCATCTTCGTTCAATACAAGTTATTTGAAGATCTTCTCTCATACAATTGCACTCAACCTCTCTCACAATCTGCAAAATTTTCACAAAGAAACCAACACTAGGAATCTTCCCCAAGGAGAACCATTGGAGAAAATCCTATTGTTGACAAGACTCCCAGTAGACCTCGAGAAAAGCACCTCCAACAGCCCAACGAATACCTTCTGTGATAACAAAACAAACCTATATACTTTGGTGCTCTATTAGGGTTCCAAATTAGGTATTTAAACCCTTCTCAATTCATAAATTTGCAGAATCGAGGCAACATATGCGATAGACTGACGCGTGTGGACGCATGGAAGGCTCGAGAGTTAGGTGCTAGCGTGTTGACTTGGCACAGGCGTGCCGTTCCTTGGCTATGGAAGCAAGCATTTTGTGCAATTGGGCCTTGAGGCACCGACGTGCCATATGGGGCGCGGGGCCTTGGGGGGGGGTGCCGTGATCCTTTGGCCAAATTTCACCCTTCTACTCCCGGAATTGCACTCCCCATTATTCTGTAAAATATGACAAAAATATCTTCCTTAAGTGTAGAATCAACAAAAATTGCGAAGAAAACATATGTAATACCGGAAATTAACTTAATTTGGCCTCATGTCAGTTTACATCATTCAAGCAAGTCATAGTTTTCTAAGATACTTCGTTTCCTTTTTTTCATCCCGTTTTGGGTAGGATACATTCAAAAGTTACCATGCATGTATAATTTTGTTGTTACTTTTGGTGCAGCTATTTCAAGGATTAAAGAATTTTATTTATAATTTTTCTTGCAGGGGAAGAATATGCTTGTTATTGGAACTACAAGCGAGGTTGGATTTCTCGAATCTATTGGAATTTGTAATGCCTTTTCTGTTATTTATCACGTACCGGCGTTGGACAAGGCAGATGCCGCAATGGTATTTTTTTTTAATTTTTATGAAATTAAATGAAATTGTCTGCTTCTACAGTTTATCAGCACTGCATAATTTTTTCCTTATCATTTTGATTTTCATGTTGTTCAACCATGTTGTTACTATTGAAATGTAGTTTTATTATGTAAAGTTAAATTCTCATTATAATCACATTAAGTAAATGTTTAGATTATGGTTGTAATCAAACTAAGTTGAGCAGAGTACACCATGAATTGAACTAGGTTTGAAATACTAAAATTGTTTATATTTGACTCGAGCCGGGTCAAGCTTTATATATGTTCATACTTAAGTTTATTTAAATTTGTCTTATGATTGAACTTATCCTATACTTGACATGCTTAAATTAATCGAAGGAGTACTTAAATGAGTTGATAAATATGCTAAAAAATGACCAAATATTTGACTTTTTATATCAACAAATAATTGTGCAATTCTAAATGAGCAAGTAGTACAAACATAAATTAAAATAGATAATAAATGTCATGTATGGGCTTTCTTGCAATCATACTATATAAATAACTAATGAAAAACGTTTGTTTATTGAAATATAGAATTAAGAAGAGATTGCAGTAAATCAATCTATAGAATCACTGATAATACATTATTTAATTTGAAAATAATAAAAAAACTTTTTTATATATATATATATATATATATATAAC